CACCGTGCCGCCATATTTGCATATTTATAAGGGAATGTAATCGCAGAGCTCGGTTTTCGCCGCTCGTCGCTCGCTACCGTGGAAAGAATTCTCGCAAGATGGCGGAAAGATTCGAGGCAGACATGCGATCCGATTTCCTGTGCTCTCCCTACCGATGCCCTGCCGAACAACAACGTATCATCAGCCCTGTCGATCTAGAAGAAACAATCGTTGTTTCGTCCGTTGCCGCGCGTCCCTTGCCATCGCGGAAACACCGGAAAGCACAATCGGCCAACGAATTCTTTCGAAACTCCAGCAACACCTCGACGGACGCGACGGCGCGTTCTTCCAGCGGACGCTGCTGCGTTCTTTTTCCATCCTCCGCGTTGCACGAGAACCGATCGATCGTAGGCATCGTAGGCATCGTTGGCCGACGAGGCGGCCTCTCAGGTTTGCTTTGCAGTGTGTAAACAGGCAGAAAAGAGGACAGAGGGGAACATTGCGTTCGCGCTCGAGGGACGAACCGACAGAGACAGAGAAACAGAGAGAGAAAGAGAGAGAGCGAGTTAGGGAAGAAACGGAAGAAAGGAAACCGGAGAGAAGGGTAATCTGCTTGTTCGCACAGTTCTCCCACGGCTTCGTTGCGTCTAGATAGCATTAAAACCGTTTCGGTTCTATCGTTCGACCGATTTACCGGCCAACCACTGGATAAGTGGCAGTTGCTGCGCTCGCACAACCAGCCAATACGACTCACCGCATCGTTGCCGCTCGCTCCGCTTGCTATTGCCATTGCAGTTGCAGTTGCTGCAGCAACAAGCCGCGAATAAGGTGCCGCGTAACGCGAAAGTGGCGAGTCACGATCGACTCGTTACCGACGATGCTCTCAGTGGTATCGCCAATACCACGAAATCACGAAAATCATCCACCGTCGAAGCGGACCGGTTTCGCGTCTTCCTCTCCCTGTCGCCCATTCTTCTTCTTTAGCGCGCTTTCTAGCTGGCGCTTGGTCTTCGTCGTCTCGCGGGATTCGATCGACGGATCTATCGCGACGTTCGACGAGACGTGGTGCGTCGTTGAGAGGCGGAGAAACGTGACGATTACAGTGGCAGGATCGGCGGTCCGGCTGGGCGTTTCTCGCCCGGTCGAAGGGGACAACCCCCCGATATTTGCGCTTATTACGCGCACAATGAAATGTACGCGGTTATCTTTGTAAGTTGGTTTGAAAGGAAGAGAAAGCGCGGCGTATGGGGTGGGAGCCCCGGGTGGGCAATTTCGCAGATCGGAAATGAAATTTCGATCGATGAAACAGCCTCGTCACCGCCCGCAGAAATCTAACCTACGATTCGCATTAGGCGGCAATTTTTGCGCCACGGGACACCGCACCAACTCGTCGACGAATCCGACGAAACGCACGCGGCAAGCGTACGTTCGCGAACGCAAACGAAGCAACTAGTTTTCACTTTTGAAAGGCACGTTGTTTCGAGATGAGACGACTGCTCGCGATCGCAGTTGGTATCTACGACTATCGCTACGCGAGTCGCTGCTTCGCTCGCTACTCGAGAGAATGAACCTCCCCGGGGAACAAATCGACGGGTGGTTGGAACCCCGGTGGATAAGAGGAAAACGCGATTATTCGGTTAAAGGATGGATCGCTGGGCCGGTTCTCCGGTCAATCGTCGACCGAAAGCCGAACGAAAGGTTTCGCGTAGCACGAAACGAGAATAAATCGGATTGGCGACGCGACAAAGGCAAATGTGTCTCGATTACGCGAGTAATCGGCCGAAAACCAAACTGGTTGCCGTTGCGACACGCGACATCGTGAAAACCGCGTGATCAAGCAAATAAAAGAAAAGCGATGGAATGTTCGTTGTTGCGCATAGCATCCGAATGCCTATTACTATTTACATACAATCGAATCTATCGCGCATATATTTACATACTACGTAAATAGGTCGTCTATGAGCAAGGCCAACGAATATGTTATACAAAATATTCGCGCGATCGCTCTCTCTTCGCGCTAAGAGATCGCATAGCGTAGAGAGAATTGGCGCAGAGAAGCCAAGCTAATGGAAAACCAACGATAGTCGACTCGAAGAAGTCTACTTTTCCAACAATATCACTGATCGCCAAATGGCTGGGTTTCTACGTCAAACGAGGGGATAGTTACCCTTAAAGTATTCCAAATGTACTTTTGGGTCGTTATCGGTAATTGTTTACAAATAAAAAATAATACTCCTCGGATATCGTCGAAGTTTTAGGATTTTGTCAATATCAATCCTAATGACAAAATCCGCAATCACTTAGTTGTCAACCTGATAATCTTTTTTTTATTTAGATGAATTTTACAATCAATTCTCATTAAGGATTATAAGAAAAACCTAATAATTGCTTCAAGGGAAACTCTACACCTTTTATTTTGTACATCCGTGACATGGAGGCCACTGTTACGAAGAGAATAGAATTTAGTGAAACAAGAAGTTGGAAATAAACAGAGGTACATATTACTGTGCCGTTGAATATAAATTTTGTTTTGGATTACGAGGTCTAGAAACATAAGAGCTGTAAGTAGATTTCTATCGCTGTTTCTTACAGCCTTCAGCTAGAACTACAAGATTAACTTTTTGGCAATGTTCTTTGCTATAAATATATGAACGTGGTGCCAATCAACCTCTTCTTGGTGCCTCTTCCTCTATTGTATTGTAACACTGTAAGAGCGAGGATCTGGATCATCATACACTATACTTATACTTCTTTCGATATATTTTTCTATTATTAGGTTGTCCGAAAAGTTTCTTTCCTTTTGTAAGGAGATAATACACGTACGATATCTTTTGTTTTATATTAGTTTATTGAATTGTGCACGAACATAATAATAAAAATATAACGAAATAAAATAATATAAAACAGAAATTGTTGTTCATCTATTATCACCTTATGAAACGAAAGAAACTTTTTCGGACAACCTAATACAAATTCATCCTCTCGTTTCTCTATCAGTTAACCTCAACAAATATAAACACACGAACGCGCTGCCTAGGACAGTGGAATAGTCGAGTAGTTAAAGAGTAGAAGAGTTGAATTGTTGTAGGAGTTTCAAGCGGCATACACTGCCTCTGTACTTGTACTTATAGTGATTTTGATATAATTGGCTATTGCAATTTATCACTCGTCTCTTTGTTAAATACACCAAAACGTTTAACACTTAACGCTCCAAGTGTGCCTCTCGAGCACCATCGATGTGCGGTGCTCTACTCCAAATGTATTTTTGGGTCGTTATCGATAATTGTTTACAAATAAAAAATAATACTCCTCTGTGAGTTACAAGCGATCAGTAAAGACAGTCAGTTCTGAACCTGTTTTATCGTAAACCCATCTATTTGAATTATGTGGAGAAGAAAAATGAATTATCTTTGTGAGGAAAACGTAGATAGGGACGATGACAGTTTTGATTTTCGTATCTATAACGATGTAGCTGTTGACTTGGATAGCAGTTATAGCGAGAGCAGTGATAGTGATATTCTTGTTGCTGGAAGAAGAAGAAAAATAAGAAAACTTTCATCGAGCGAGGAAAGTGCAGATGATGGAGAACCACAGGAAGAAAATCTAAGCAGAAGTATTTGCAACGTAAGATCTTCTGATTGGCAGGAAATTTTTAACGAAGATATCATTCCACAACGATATGAATTTTCGACTGGTAGAAAAACTGCTGGTCCGCGGGTACACAACTTATGCGAACCTATTCAGTACTTTCAATTATTTTTTACTAATGTCGAAAGAAAAAAAGAAAAAGTGCCTTGTTTGTTCACCAAAAGCAAGTAACGCGGTGAAAAAACAATTTTCTACTGTGAGACCAGCGAACGCAAACCCGGTTTGCATCCCGATGAACGTTTTCAAAAATTCCACACGATACTCAATTATAATTAATAGAAATGTTCTAATCAAAATTATGTTACTTTTCAGATGAATAAAGATCGTCTTCAATAACTTCAATATTATTATTTACGTCATTGTAGCATTTCAAATCTGACGCTTAAAAGCTTGCAAGTCCAAGTATGACGAGAACAAGACAAGTTGCAGTTGTGGATATTAAAAAATTCAGGGTTGACATTAGGTCGTCCGAAAAGTGTCTTTCGTTTCATAAGGTGACAATAGATGAACTACAATTTCCCCTTTACATTATCTTAATCCATTTCGTTCTATTTCTATCATTATGTTCCTGCAAATTCGATAAACAAATACAAAACAAGAAACATTCCGCGTCTATTATTTCCTCGCAAAACAAAAGAAACTTTCCAACCTAATATAATATCGTTGTTAATTGTAGCAGATCACGGTGGATGCTAAGAAGGAGAAAAACTACAAACGACGCATCGGTAAGAGACAGTGGAGAACGAGGGATGATGAGGCGAACGAAGGGCGAACAGGCGCGACCAGAGCTCGTTCTACGTTATGTTACACAGCGACATATCCGAGCGCGACGATTCTAACGCGTGACAGAGAAAAACGAAACGGCAAGCGGAGGAGGAGAAAGAAGCGGAACGGACACGGGACTGTCGGCACGACAGCAAGCAAGACAGGCGAGAGAGAGCGAGCGAAACGGTGAAAGGATAGTACAGAGGGAGGATGGGCAGACAGGCGAGAAAGAGAGGGTGCGAACGCGTTGCATCTCGAGCGTCGGCAGGTTATCCGGGGGCGAGGGTGGCACCACGGGCATTAAATATACACGCTGATTTGTCGTCCGCGGATTGTCACCTCTGATAGCTTTCATTTTGTTGTATATCGGTGGCGGGCGCGCTCGCCCCGCACGCGCTCCGCGCTTTTCCACGTAATTCGGCCCGCTTGATTGACTTTTGAGCTGGCCTTTATGGCGATATTCGTTGCGCCAACGAATGCGCCAGCGCTCGAATCCGTTCCCCATCCCGCCTCCTCCTCCCCCTCCCGCC